TACTTTCTGGTAAAGGAGACTGATTTGGCAAATACTAACAATTACTAAATTGTTAAGAGGCTCCTTACGCTGGTTATTATTACATATAACTTTCTACGACACGATTAACGTGCAATTTATGTCTCCAGGACAGAGATGAAATGTCAGCCTGCGCAAAAATGCAGTATCCCGGGAACAAAAGTAAGAACCTGGTTATAGCAAAAGTTTTAACGCAGATGTTCTCTAAGTCCCAAAAGAAAGGCTCATTTAAACTATACAAAAACCGAAAGAATTGCGAATGCTGTAAATCAGGTAATAAAAAACCGAAGTTGCTGGAAAAGCTCAGCAGGTCTGGTAGCATCTTTGAAGAAAAAAAATCAGTTAGCGTTTCGGGTCCGGTGACCCTTCCTCAGTTTTGGGGCTCTTTTTGTTATTTAGTTCTGAGGAAGGGTCACCAGAGCCGAAACGTTAACTCTGATTTTTCTTCACAGATGCTGCCAGACCTGCTGAGCTTTTCCAGCAACTTCTGTTTTTGTTCTTGATTTAAAACTATTCCTGACGTTAGTTTTGAGTGCGCTAATACGGATGGTATGAAGATTGTAAGGATGGGAGCTGAGCTCATGATGCTGAGTACATTTCTGTACAGGTATTGGATTATTCAACTCATTTTTACATGCAGCGTCAGCAGCTGGGAGCCACTTTTGTTTTATATTTTGAGGATTCTGAGAAAGGCTATCTGTTTCCTTCTGTTTGCTAAGTGTCCAGCATGCATCGACTGCATGATGTGGCGTCCTGTCGAACATTTCACAGCCAAAACTTGCTTGGGTAGCGCAGTCGAAAGTGCGTAGATGTCGGTTTATGTTTGCTTTGGCAGAGTCTTCGAGAGACTCTGGCTGAATGGATATCGTGCAAATATTTTGTTTCGCCGAAAGCCTCCCCTCCCTCCCCACCCCAACGAAAAACGGGGTTAAAATTCACCTTGGGTTCCAGGTCCTCTTATTCCTGTAAGTACTGAATATAACCCGAGTCCCACAATGAACTGCTTGTCGCCTGTTTTCCCCACCTCTCCGTGAGGACAAGGCACATTTCTGTGATTCACTTGAGTGCAAAAACCATTGCTTTTTGGATTGTACGCTTGCTCTTGACAGCTCTCAGCTTCTGTTTCCCTCCAGCCGCTGCTACCGAGCGCAGGAGTACAAAGTCACATTGGTCTCGCAGTGCCGAGGTCAGGAGAGATTGCTGCTACTCTCTGCTTCTGACCTGCTTGATTCTCATGCCCAGTTAAAATCAGAGATACGTTCCTTGCAGCTCTGCTCACCGATGCCATTGTGATAATACCGGCTAACATACTTTGAGTGATGTTTAAGGTCACGCCAAAGTGCCTTTTTTCGCACTTTTAAAAAGCCAGTTCTTTTCCTCATGACTGCGCCGACTTTTAGCAGCAATATAATGGTGATATACTTGTAGTCCAATGTGGTACAAGGTATGGTACAGCACCAGTATAGACCTGTTGAGTTAAATAGCCTGAATATTGACTTCACCAACTTCAAAATCTCTCTACCCCCAAACCGTCCATCTCCTGCTTCACCTACCCCCTCCACCCCTCCCACTGATCAACCACAATAACCCCCTACCTGCATCCACCTATCTCCATCCTACCTGTCCTTCCCCCAGCCCCACTCCCTTCCCTCTATTTATTTCTAGGCTCCCCTCCCCCTCCCCAGTCCTGACAAAGGGTATCAGCCCAAAACATTGACTTCTGCATTCCTGGGATGCTATCTGACCTGCTATGCTTTTCCAGCTCCACATTTATTGACTCTGTATCATTTGTCATGTTTTAATCTCCTTAACATGCAATACATCCATAATTCTGCTGCCCAGTCATGTCATTCTGATTCATGTTCTACTCACTGACCGAAATTGGTTCCTGTGTCACCAGAGCCTTAAACTTAAGATCTAACCTTTGTGTCTTTTTTTTTTAAATTTGGTGGTTGGAAGTAGGTTAGCATTTATTGCGCATGTCTAATTGCAGTAGCAATTTGAGCTACTTTTTTGAACTATTGCAGTCTTTGGGTGTATGGCCACCCTCAGTTGTGTTAGGAGGGAGTTCTAGGATTTTGAGCCAGTGTTGGAGAAGAAATGGCAATATAGTTCCAAGTCTGAATGATGTCTGAATTGGAGGGGAACTTGCAACTGGTAGTGTTCAAATTCATCTGCTACCCTTTTCCTACTAAGTGTTAAATGCTGCATGTTTGGATGGTGCTGTCAATGGAGCCTTGATTAGTTTTTGCAGTGCATCTTGTAGATAGTACACACTGTTGCCACTGTGCGTTGCTGATGAAGGAATGAATTTTAAAGGTGGTGAATAGAGTGCCAATAAAATAGGCTGCATTGTCCTGGATGATGTTGAGATACTGGAGTATTGTTGGAGTTGCACTCATATACTCAAACTCATAATGGAGGAGAGGCACTGGGGACACAGGAAGTGAGTTACCACAGAATTCTAAGCATCTAATCTTCTCTTGTAGCCAGCCAGGTCCAGTAAGTTACTGAATACAGTTTAGCAATGGTAAGGCCATTGAATGTCAAGGGGAAATGTTTTGGTTTTATTTAAACGGAGATGATCATTGCCTGGCACTTTTGTGGTCTGAACGTTACTTACCACTTGTCAGTCTAAGCCTTAATGTTGTCCAGGTCTTGTTCAATTTGGATAGAGATTGCTTCAGTATCCGAGGAGTCATGAATAGTGCCGAACATTGTGCAATCATCAGCAAATATTCGCACCACTGACCTTATGATGGAAGAAAGGTCATTCTTGAAAGTTTGGGCCTAGACATTACCCTGAAGAACTCCTTCTACTGATATCGTGTGGTTGAAATGATAGTTCTCCAACCATTACAACCATCCTCATTTGTGGAGAGTTTTAGCCTCAATTTCTTTGGCTCCTTGATGCCACACTCTATCAACTGTGACTTTGGTATCAAGGGCAATCACATTCCCTCCCTCTCTTGAGATCAGCTGTTTTGTTTATGGCAAAATGCAAAGGTATTGGTGAAATGGCTGTACTGAAATGGGGAACTGAATGGGCTTGACAGAATCCAAACAGAGCATCAGTAAGCAAGTTATTGGTGAGTAAGTGCTGGTATTTGGGGCACTTTTGATGAAACCGTCGATCATTTTGATAATTGGAAGTAGACCAGTGAGCCCATGTTGGATTTGTTATGGATTTGAATTCCTTTATGGTCTCATGTACCTTGCATTCACTTTCAGACCACAATTGGTTAGGCCTTCAACAAACCAGTCCCTAAGCTCTAGAGACAACAAGGTGCAGAGCTGGATGAACACAGCAGGCCAAGCAGCATCATAGGAGCAGAAAGGCTGATGTTTCGGCC